CGTATGGGTATCACTAATCTAATTTCAAGTATTGTCAGGCAATGGCACAATAATTGTGAACATATGCTTTGGAAAAAGGGTGCGCCCAAGGTTTATTGTGATAACCACAGGGGCTAAGTAAGTGTTCACAAAAAATGATCTTTTGAGATTGATAAACAAAGTAGTTGAAAGAAAATCCTATTTAATCTCCCAGAGAGGAGGTAGAAAATCAAACCCCAGAATATTAGTATCAGCAAGCAAAGTAATATTGTTCATGATAAGATAAACTTAGATTTTATCAACATTCAGTCTTTCCATTTTAGGCCAGAAGGGTCCTTTTGCCGAACGGTATGACAAAAAAGTCCATTCTACAACGGATACTCCAGGGTTGGCACAAACAGTGGACAAGAAAAGCAAGATACAATTTCTAAAAGAAATTATTTTTATGGTGCCAGAGGTATATTCAGTTTGGACAATAAATAAATTTAATTTTAAGGCATGACCAAGTAAGTCATTAGTAGAAAAAATAAAAATCCGAATGAAATAAATAAAATATTGGAATTAGCAATAAATTAGACAATAAAATCAACTAAGTTCAGAGTCATTTAAGTTAATGTTTACCTTCAGTAGCAGATTCATTGCAGGCAGGTGAAGCATTGATACGGATACTATTTCTATCCATAAGGTCAGAATCCCGAACAGCTATATGAAAGATGACAGTGAAAAAGAGTCCAACAGCAACAAGAATTACTGCTAACCAGCGGAAGATGGGCACATCTTCGGGACCAAAGTTGAAAGACGAACTGTCATTCGAAACGGAAGAGTGCCTTTTTAGTCCTACCAGTAGTATGCAGCCTGATCAGAAAAGAAAATGGTAATGGAATAAAGCGAATAATGAAGAATAATTCAACATTAAAAAGAATTTAGAGTAATGAAGAACATATTAGTCTAAAAGGAACTATAATAATAGATATAAAGACCAAGATGTAGTGACCTTGAGTTTGATTAGTCATTTTTAGCTGCACAGTGTTGGTTTTAACTTGCTTTCGCAACTTAGTCGTAGTTATAGGAAAACCCTGCAAAACGTAACTAATCCTGTGCACTGTGTCATAGTTTCCATCAAAACGTATACCATCGGACCGTTGACTTGGTGCATTCCCAGATGCATCGCCAGCATCGTCAGTGATAGGCGCCACTCTTAACACTATATTCAGACCAATTAAAGTGATACGTAAAAAAATCCTCCCTAAAACTTTTCTGATCAACCATGGTAAAATCTCTCCTCCACCTCCCCGAGCTTTACGAGGTGAAATTCGATATCTCAAATCCGTTTGATACGGGCAATTCTTAAATCTACATCTCTCTGTGTGTTTCGGTTTTATTAAGGTCTCTTAAGTGTGTTATTTAAATGAATCACCCCTAACCTCGTTTCGGATGCTGTCCACAGAGCTTCTTGATCCAAATTGGCACTTCTACTCAGCTAACCGCTTCATCCGAAATTTGCCAGATGCTTCCAGTTGAACCATAAAAACACTGGCTTACCTTATTTGCTACCTATAATGAAAAGTCTGGAAGAGGAAAGTTTTAGCGAA